TTGAATGTAATCTTGCATTAAATGCTTGGTAAATTTTCTTGTATTAGGTAAAGATTAGTTGAGAAAATTAATGTTGATGCATTAAGAAAGTTCTGCCATATAAAGGCAGAAAATGAATGAAAAAAATGGGTTAGACCTCACCAAGCAAGGTAACTCCAAGGGGTCTCTCTCCTTCTCCTCTAAGTGTTTTCTCAAAACCATTTCTTTTTACCACCGAAAAATCTAACATGGTATCAGAGCTTCTATGACCTTAAGGGACCTCTGAAAGTGATTTTGAGAGAACACCAAAAAAAAGAAAAAAAAAAAACCACCTTTCTATGGATTCTAGTACATTTTGTTGTGAAATCCCTCTTCCTTTTTTAGCAAATCACTCAGCAAGTGATAAAGGCATATGGTAGGCCCACTATAGCTCAAGATCAAGCATAGTGAAGAGATGGTGTGAAAAGGCAAGCTGGACCAACAAAGAGAAGGTGTTCATGGATTCTACAGCCAACAGTCCAAAGCGAAAAAGAATGTCTGTAAATGGTGCAGACTAAGAAAGAAAGAAAACTCAAAGCATGCATCAAGTCATGTTCACCATAAAGTTGAATCTGATCTGACCCTAAGGAAGCTATAGATTAAAAGAAGAAAACTAAGCAACTTACAAGAAAGCTCAGCAAAGCTCCAAAAATTTGTTAAAGCAACAAATCTAAGCAAGATGAAGCTATAGTATTGAAGGAAGAGCTGATCTGCTAAAGGAGATGGCTTTAGCAACAACAACAAATCAAAACCAAAGCATAAAGAATTGCAAATGGCAGATTCTAAATGCTCCAGTAAATTTCTTGTTTCCCGCAGCTTAAACACCAAGGAGGAGTGTTGGAATTGTGGTGTGAAAGCTGCACCAAAAGCAACAAATGAAAAAAAAGTTGCATAAAATGGCAGCAAAATGAAAAAAAGGGAGAGCTGCACCAAGAGCAACAGCAAAGTGCAATAAGCGAAACTGCAAATGTTGATGAAATGAGGCCAAAATGAAATGCAAATGAAATCAAATGAAAATGCAAATGAAAGGCTGCAAAGTAGTAGCAAACCACAGCACATGGAGCCACACAAATGATAACAAATCTTTGAATGTAATCTTGCATTAAATGCTTGGTAAATTTTCTTGTATTAGGTAAAGATTAGTTGAGAAAATTAATGTTGATGTATTAAGAAAGTTATGCTATATAAAGGCAGAAAATGAATGAAAAAAAGGGGTTAGACATCACCAAGCGAGGTAACTCCAAGGTTTCTCTCTCCTCCTCCTCCTCCAAGTCCTCTCTCAAAACCATTTCTTCTTACCATCGAAAAATCTAACATAAATTCTAATAAAGAGATGTCAATAGAGAGAATTGAAATACACGTTTATAGTTAACACTGATCCAACAATTAATAAAGAGAGAACAACAAATTGCTAAGTAATAAAGATCTTTGTTGCATTTTCTTATTTACTATATATGTATATTATCAATCTGAGTCACTCTCTTCTCATCTCTTTATGCTTTATGAGATGTTTCAAATTCCACATCTAGACAAAAGTGTGATTGTATCTAATACCCTACATCCTTTTCACATTATCAGATGATTTTGGAAGGGAGCACTAGGATTAAGAACAACAACAATAAATTGCTCTTGATTTTAGGAATAGATAAAGTTAAAGTACCAATTTGCTTTTTCAAATTTCATTTTGTATTCTATTTTAGTAGAGATAGTTAATACTGGAGGAAGATAGTTACTTAATATTGCATTGAAAGTTGAGAACGACAATTAAAATGAAATAAAGAAAATTCTTCTAAAATATATAATAAAATGCAACAGAGGCAGTATAAATGATTAACCATTACTAGCGAACTTGAGTTTGAGCACACACACCATTATTGTTCTTCACGCCATTGTTTCTAAAATTCGTAGGAATATACAAACACTATGGCTAGGCTCTCATGGCTTCTCTCATCTTTCTTTCTCATCATTGCCTTTGCATTTACTCTTAACCCCCAAATGTCAAATGTATGTTTCCCTTTCCCACACTAAATTTTAAGATTTATTCCTATTTAGAGCATGTTTGGGTTAGCTTGTAAGAACTTTTACTTTTTTTTTTTTTTTACTATTCATGAGTGATAAGTTTAAATTTTTATTAGAAGGAAAATTTAAAAGTTGCTTTTAAAAATAGGAAAAATGAAGGAAAAATGAAGTTTATGAAAAACCTGAATTTGAAGTTTTTGATCTTTTATTATTTAGG